AAGAATATAATTTAAATTTTGATAGCAAATTAAAGACGAAAGAATAATATGACATTGAAAAAAGGATGTATCGTATTGCATTCAGGTTAATTAGCCATCTCAATGTCACACCTTCAATTCCTCTGATCAATAATATTTGATAATTCATTTGAAATTATGTATAACAAAACAAAATCTATGAGTCAAACATCGCTTATCATACAGGACTATTTGTTATGATTATGGTTGATATGATACATTTAATTGATGTATCATTATGATTATAATGGTTTTTGATCAGTTTGTTGGAAAGAAACAAATAAACCTAAAGTTTCTGATTTAAATTAAGCAATAAAATATTGCTGCTGCTATTCATCTTCCAGAAAGTTATATTTCAATCGTTTGTATTATCAATGATAGCTAACTGAAATCATTAAACAAAATTATCGAAAGCATTCATAGAAATAATTTTCGTTAATATGATCCTTTAATTTTTCCGCTTTCCTTCCTTACATTTAAGCGTAACGTTTCATTCCTTTTCCACTGATCCAATTCTTGCAGTTTTTCAAAAAGGAAAATTGATAATTAAAAGAATTTAACTAATGAGCAGTAGAAACTGTTCAGTTATTAGCGCAGTAGAAACTATTCAGCTATCAGTATAATCCATGCAGTGAAAAATGCAAACTAAAATTTCAATCTTAGTTGCATTAATTTCGGAATGGAAATTCTAAACTAATCAATACTAAACTAATCAATAAATCAATATTAATCAATACTAAACTAATCAATAAATCAATACTAATCAATACTACTTTGTATGATAGTTTAATATGATAAAATTCCGCATTACCAATCTCTTATTTTAATTTCATTTCAAACTAATTATTGAACAAAATTATGAGAGTTATCAAATGAAGCAAATTATGAGAAATGCGCAATATTACGCAATTGAATTGTTTATTTCATAATTGCGCTAAAATTTAAAGTCAGGTAGGTAGTTTAATGATTTTCATATTATGAGATATTAATAATACTAAATTTTTTCATATTAAAAAAAAGAATAATCAAAGTATTAAAAGATTATGATAGTTTGGGAAAAGCATTATGACGGCTTAATGTTCCGTTTGTATGATATAAGCATTCTAATCAACTTATCAAAAAGTTTGTAAAATATTAATTACTAATATCTCAAAAAGTTTGTAAAATATTAATTACTAATGTCTCAAAAAGTTTGTAAAATATTAATTACTAATATCTTATTTGATTATGATTGGAGAATGTTATGAGATGGCTGTTATCTTTTCGAGATATTAAAAAATGTTATTTTCTCTTATCTTCTCTAAGATACTATAAGATATTAATAATATTAAAATTTTTTTCATATCAGAAAAAAATTCAAAGTATTAAAAGATTATGATAGTTTGAGAAAAGCATAATGACAGCTTATTTAAAATATTTATAATTCAATTTGAAATCTTCGATACTATTCTCTGTCCTCTGTCAATTTGTTATTAAATGAAATATTTGGGGATGAAAAAAATCGTAAGCGCAAAATATCACAAAATTTGAACAATTTAAAATTAAAATAATTAGACTAATCTAAGTACAAAAAAAGATAATACAGTAATATGATTTTGTTGCACGGTACTGGCGTACGGTACTGCTACAATGGATGTAACTATCAAAATGATTAATCAAATTCTTTTAAAAATATATGTATCGTATTTACGAAATCATTTCTGATATTATAATTAGAGAATAGATTGTTTTCTAGTCCTTTCAAAATATTACACCGAATTTGTAAGATTAAATTTTGAAATGCCTAATTTTTCTAGTCACTTTTGTGGACCGAACATTCGAGCCTTATTATTGTTGATGATTAGATAGTATAATTTGTTTAATTAGCTTACAGTATCTTTTTAATTATAGTAATTTTTATCTGTTTTTTTCTTAATAGCAATTTTTTACATCTGATAAATTAATAAATGATATTAAATTCTTACCTGAATTATTCAATGAATTTTGTTTAAAATCAATTATTATCATAATCATACTGAAACCACTAAGTTCATTGGTAAATACTAAAATAAGCAAAATCAGGCGAATCCTTGGACAAATTAAATTTAAGGTATTGATTCTTTTTTCGGACTGCAATACTTATTGTTCATAAATTTTCCATCATAATTCAAAATTAACTTTTTGGTTATTTCATGATTGTTATAAAAATATCGATGATGATCATAATGATGATTATAATGATGATTATGTAATATTTCTTTATTTTTAAAGTTAATTCAGAAAAAAATGAAAAAATCTGATTAAATTTTGAAATCAATAACGCTTATTTAATATTAGGTTTTACTATACGATTATTTAATATTCGATTTTACCATATGATTATTTGATATTAGAATTTACTATACGATTATTTAATATTGGGTTTTACTATGCGGTTGTTTAATATTAGGTTTTATTATACGGTTATTTAATATTAGGTTTTACTATACGATTGTTTAAAATTAGGTTTACTATACGATTATTTAATATTAGGCTTTACTTTTACGATCGTTAATTTTTCAATGAGTTTTTTTATCACCTTTTTTAAATTACCTTTTTTTTTTTTAATCACCTCAATAATTATTATTTTAATTTGTTGTAGTAAATATAAATATATTTGAAAATAGAATTTTCAGAGTAAAACTTTTTTACAATCGCCTGAAATTAAAGCTTTTTATTAACTATATATTTATATTACAAAGTATTATTTCAATCAAATGATAATATTTGCATTATAGCTTCTATGATAAATTATTCTTTTATACATTTTGCCATTGCTGTATTATTTCAACTATTTACAAAATTACATTTTAACTTTTTAATTTGATAATTTGAAAACAATTCTAATTTTGGTCTAACTTCAATCATAGACGTAAAACATAAAATAAATACTTTAATGTTTTATCGATGAATGCAAATTTAAAGTAAAATTTTTGATTATTTCCGATAAACAAATAAGTTAATGACTTTGAAGTAATTTTGAAGAAAACAACTTTCCAATTTGATAAAATTAATGAGGTTGTAGGTGGTACTGATTATAAAACTGGTACTTTTTAACTCATTAATAAAATCTTTTCTTTTTATTCCTCTAAAGGTAGTCAGTCCAACTCCGATAGATTTTCAATATTATACTTTAAATCTTATTTACGTTGGTACCATTCAATACTTGCAACTAATTAATTAACGAATCCAATAATTAAAGAATAGTTCTAACTACTCTCAATTTAAAGTTATCCATAATTTGTTAAAGATTTGCTATAATTTTGGGATGATATGATTTTATCAATTGATAATTGTATATTTGAAAATTTTGGAAACTAAATTTTTTTGATTTTAAATTTTCAAGATTTCTTAAATAATTTCCTGAATTAAAGGTTTCTTGTTTGAAATTTCATAAATATTTTCGGAGTAGAAAATCATTTTACTCCAGAAAATTTGACTTATTTTTTACTCTCTTGACGAAATTAAGAAAAATGATGGAGAAAGATGAAATCAACGACACTATCAAGATCTTATCAGTTCATTTTTGCCTCCTATCCATTTCTGGTTTTCCCCTTTCCTAAAATACTTTCTTTGATTTATGTTAAAAAGTTCAATTTTAGTAAAATTTATTTTCAACTAAATTTATCATGGTTGAAAGAAAATTTATGGGTTTTAACAGTAAGATTACCGGATTATTGTATGCATTATAAAAGACAAATGATCCGAAGAGATTACGATAGATCCTAAATATTCGTTGAATACGTGATAACCGTGTAACGTTGAAAAGTATTAATTAATAATAAATCTGTTATATCATTATCTATATTTATAGTAACGATAATTCATTATTTTAAGTTATTTCAATAAAAATTCCAATGAAGAAAATGATTGTTCTTTAATACAACTGAAATTAAATATTCCTGAAATTAATATGAAAAATATTTTAACTATTTGAATCGATGAAATCATTATTTTGGTTATTTTATTTTAGACTATAAAATAAACTCTTTAAGTTTAATTCAGAAAAGCAATATTAGTTATTTTATAAATTTTGAAGAGTTTCGTCTTTTTCTTATTCTCAAATTAATCACATTTCACTTTAATTAATTAATTACTTTGTAAATTAAGAAAATAATAAAATTTAGTTTCTTATAAAGTGATTTTTTGTTTTTCAACTTTTTATTTTATATTCTGATTCTTTTCGATAAATTTTAGAGAATTTGAAATTTTATTATTTCCCAGAATTTCTAATGAATTTTGCAACATTTAATACTATTTCAAATTTCATTAAATCAGAATAATTTGAGTTTCTGGGAGCTTTTTTTCTGTTAAGGAAACTAAGCTGAAATTATTCAAAGTAAAATTAAGAAATTAAGTTATTAATTAAGTAATTATATAAAGCTTCAAAATTAGAAGATCGTTGGTTTCTACAATTGATGAAGTGTGTTCGTTTCGAGAAATATACGTATTACTGTTTTAGGAATGTAACCGTAGTACCACACACTTCGCTTAACGATTGAAATATTTGATTATTTAATGAGATAAATTAATTCCTAGTGAATTCGAATAATATTGGTATGCAATTATTTAATCGAAAATCAAACGACCCATTGATGTTTGCGCTCAAAAATTTTCAATTCGAATTCAATAGAAATTTCATAGCGGGTAATTTAAATCTTTCAAATTTATAATCACCTGTAATAAATTGATATCACACAATTTTTAGAGAATTGGAATCAAAATTTCATTATTTAGTAAGATGTAAAAAATAAGGAAAAGATTTTATACATGCAATAGCATAATGCATGATTAGAAAGAAAGTTATGATAACCTGAAATCTAATGAGTTATAACCTAAAATACCTAAAACCTAATGACTGAACCTGAAATCTAATGAATGATCCGTTCGATGAAAATTTCATTCAATCAAAAATTTCAACTTACACTTTTTATGTATCTTTCAGTTTCTCGAAGCTTTTGGTAATGTCGTTGATAGGTTTTGGAAATGAAACCAGTGAAACAATAGTAGTTCCAAAGCCCACCGCTTGGCAAAGTTTGTTTAATTATTGAATTTTTAATTAGCCTTTTTAAATTGGTTTTTTTTCAAAATTACATTTTAAATTCTAATCATTCAAGAAGTTGTTTTTCATCCTTTTTTCGACGTTTATTAAATGATTTAATTAAAGAAATTATCAAATTAAAACAATAAATTAATAAAAATTAACTAATTAATGGTATCTTTTTGAATTGCTTATCATTTGAAAATATAATCATAGGTTGAAAATACTTTTATAATTTGCATTGACATTTAAAAATTGTTTAAATTTTCTTGATGAAATGATAAATTTTAATTTCAGCTTGGGGTATTGGTCTTACTGTCGTAACGATTACAGCGATTGGACCATCAATTTGTATTACAATTGTGCCATTTCTTAGCAAAACACTTTATGAATTCTTTATGACATTACTTGTGGCTTTTGGCATTGGAACACTTTCTGGCTCAACATTATACGTACTTTTACCTGGAGTGTGACCTTTTATTTCTATAATAAAAAAGTTCAAAGAGGAATTTATAGTATCTGATATAATAGTTACTTAGAATCTAATTCTAGCTCAACATTATACGTACTTTTACCTGGAATGTGACCTTTTATTTCTACAACAAAAATGTTCAAAGAGGAATTTATAGTATCTGATATGGTAGTTACTTAGAATTTGATTCTAGCTCAACATTTACACGTACTTTTACCTGGGATGTAACCTTTTATTCTACAACAAAAAAGTTCAACATAACACTACTTCTACTTGGAGTGTGACCTTTTATTTCTATAACAAAAAAGTTCAAAAAGGAATTTATAGTATCTGATGTGATAGTTACTTATAATCTAATTCTGGCTCAACATTATGTGTACTTCTTTCTACCTATAGTGTAACCTTTTATTTCTGCAACAAAAAAGTTCAAAGGGGAATTTACAGTATCTGATATAATAGTTACTTAGAATCTGAAAGTTATTATTAGGTAAAGTTGCAAAGATAGAATAGTTTGATATACTGTTTTATCCTTCTAACTTATATCAATAATTACTTTCAAAAAAAAAAAAATTTTTCAATTAATAATTTATTTGTGAAAAATAAAAACAAAAGTTATTTTCAGGCACTTGGCTTAAATGTTGTGGAAGAAAGTTATTATAGGACAAAAATTTCTGTACTACTTGTCGTATTATATGCATTTTTTGCAGTGGATCGAATTTTAGCATATGTTTTGCATTTTCAAAAAGTAATCTATAATACCGAAAATATTTTATTTGATGCAAATTTTCGACAACTTATAGAAATTTTAATCAAATTAAAAAATTAAGAAATTAAATTCAAATACTTAAATTTACACTTGTTAAATTAATTTTTAAAAATCTATTATTATTCAGTTCATATTTTAATACTATCACTAATTTATAATTTTATTGTTTTCGTAATTAACAACAAAAAAAAAATTAATTATTCATGAAAATTATTAATGTTTTAGATCCGATCAAAGAGGCAAAAGATTCATCAATCAACGCTGAAAAAAATTTTGAAAAAAGGCAAAAATTTAAATCAGACAACAGCGACAGAGGATAATCCTATAATGTCACGAATTTTGCTAAGAACTGAAAAGAGTGGTAGCACTGAAGATGGCTTGGAATATTATGAATTGGAGAAAGATCGCCTAAAGGTATTTTATATCATAGGCATGCCATTTTCCTGTAAAACATAAATAAATTTCATATCATAGGCATGCCATTTTCCTGTGAAACGTAAATAAATTCCATATCATAGGCATGTCATTTTCCTATGAAACGTAAATAAATTCCATATCATAGGCATGTCATTTTCCTATGAAACGTAAATAAATTCCATATCATAGGCATGTCATTTTCCTATGAAGTATAAATAAATTCTATAAAAAATGAAAAACATGAAAGGTAATATTAAAGAAACTATTTCTTCTTCTGTCCATAAATTCATTCAATATTTCAAATGCCCATTTTAAGTTTATTTAGATTTGAATTTCAAAAAAAACGGAAAAAGCATCCGGTATCTTTTTTTCAAATAGTTCAATGATATGATTTTAAATTCTAGCAAGAGATTTAAATTAATTTTTTAAATTATTGTTGTTAGAAATTAAAATCATTTTTAGAGTGAATTTGAAGCAGCGATGGTTAGTAATATGATTTCAAGAAAGGTTAGCTTCTTAGCTTCATTTCATCTAATTTATGAATTTTTTTTCCCTTTTAAAATTTGTATGCTTATTAATTAGTAAGTAAAAAATTGGCCAAATTTTTAAATGAGTTTTGTTTTTTCAATTTTTATAGGAAAAAAAATAAATTGATATTATTGAGATTGAAATAAAGTGTGAGGCAAATTTTCATTAAAGATATTAGGCATTGATAACCTGATAAAAAATTAGGTTAAAATTTTTTACTTTTCAGGTATCATGTAGACTTCAAACGACCGTGCTGACAGTTATGGATGATAATAAGACTTCAATAGAAAATGGTTTAAATCGTAAAAATGTACTGCTTTTTTTGCATGCACAAAAATAGAAATTAAAAATTACTATTTTGCAGCATATAATAATAGTTTTAAAATATTTAAATTCAATTTTAAAAACTAAAATATAATAATATAATAGTGTAATATAATAGTTTTAGAAACTATAATACAATAATAATTTTAAAATATTTAAATTCAAATTTAGAAACTATAATATAATAATATAATAGTATAATATAATAGTTTTAGAGACTATAATACAATAATAGTTTTAAAAATGTTTTAATTCAAATTTAATTGAATTAATTTCACGAAATTAATTTTCATTTGTAATCAATAATTATGAACAAAATGATTTTAAAATTTAATTACCTGGAAAGAAAAATTTTAAAAATTAAGTTTCGAAGCAGTTAAAATATGTAATTCAACTTCGAAATATTGATTTGCGAAATTAGATTGTTTGTTTCAAAATCGAATTTTAAAAAAATTGCTCGATGATAATCTATGTATCATTAGTATTGTAAATCCAGAAGGATTCAAATGATGAGGTATCGGTGAATGTGGAAGTAGTAGAAGAGAAAGTACTCGATCCATCAAATCTTGATGCAGCATCAGTTGCTTGGATGATAGTATTTGGTAGTTTGATGAACAATTTCGTTGACGGTATGAGTAACGGTGCTGCATTTGCAAATTCTTTGGCACGTGGTTTTTCTGTTGGTATTGCAGTTATCACTCAACAGCTTCCACAAGAGATTGGTATTTATCGATCCGTGATTATCACATTTCTAATTTTGTAATTTATAATAAATACTTCGTACTTAATCTGTGAACATGCTAATTAAACGACATATGATGCTTAAATGTAGAATATTGATTGATTGATTTTTAAGCTTTAAATATTTGATGTATTCTAAGCTTTAATAATTTTCAACAAATATAATTTTTACTTCAGGAGACTATATTTAATCATTACATATCTTAGGATATAAACCTATGCTGCAGGAATGTTGGCAATTTTAATTCAGTCAGGACTTGGATTCAAACGAACTCTTTTAATAAGCTTATTCCCGAATTCGCTTAGTTATCTGGGCTTTATATTTGGTGTATTAATTGGTAATGAGGACGATTCATACGGAAATTACGTTTTCGCCGTATCATGTGGAATGTATTTATATGTTTTTCTTGGTACTTTGGTACGTGATCCCTATATTTATATTGAAAATGCGTTACTTTTATTGCTCACCTTCCTCCAATATTTGTTTACATATTTCCGATAATTAGTTGATCCTTAGCATACTGTTTCTGATATAATATGAGAGTACTTTTGCGGTTTCTTTTTACTGTTTTCACCGTATCTGGGAATTGGATTTGATTCCCAGATAAACGGTGAAAACATCAATCCATCTGGGAGCTTAATCAATCCACCTGAGAGCTTAATAAATAGCTTAATCAATCTTATCTGGAAGCTTAATTAATAAATTTTTTGGTCAAATAAAATTAGCGAAACTTATAGATTCCGGAAATTCGTGATTCGGTAAATGAGCAAATCAAAGTGGACTTGAAAGGAAGTATTCGATCAACAATTTTGCAAGCTATTGGTATTGTTGCAGGAATTATTTTCGTATATTTGGTATGCAAATACGGGCATGAAATTCATTTCCTAATGATATGGTTACATGATATATGCCATGGAGATAGTGCAAACAGTGGAAATCAATAGTTTCTTAATGTTGATTATATATGAGAATGTTAACTTCTCGTTGTTTCCGTTGCTCCATAAAATGTTGCGTGTTCAGCTCATCAAAGAAAACATCACAAACAGTCGTAGTCAACTTTCTTTCTTTCCTTTTCAATAACTGCCTTTCAAATTTCCCCTCCTTTCAATAGCCAGCGGCTATTCTCACTTTCAGTAGCCAATCGGCTACTCTCTCCCTTCTCCTTCAATAACAATAAGTTGATCCTCTATAATCCCTTTCAGTAGCCACTGGTCATTCTTATCAATCATCTAATGTTATATTAGCATCTCCGATGAACTTGCATGTTTTTAAAAATGAATAAAAATTTGAAATATATTGTCGTCACACTCACAAGCAACCCGTTCTACATACCCTCAGGAATTAATCATACTTGCAACACCCACCACTCTATTCAATCAGCGATTTCCATTGTGAAAATTCAAACTTCACGGGCCATCTTTACCCTGTAAAATTTGAATTATTGGAATTGAATGTGGTAATGGTAATGTTTGTTTACGTGTACATACATACAAACAACTGCGTGTTAGTGTTTGACATTTATAAATTAAAAGTAGTAGCAGTATTTGAGAATGGAAAAGGGGAAATTCTCCATTGTTCAGAATCCACCTAACTACGATCATTTTCAACTTTGCTAATCTGTCTGATAAAAAAGAAAGTGAAATAATTCGGTACTGATTTGATATTGCAGAAATGCTCGCAGTATACAAAAACTGCATGCAATGAAATTGTGCTATCACCTGTTCCTATCATGCATGCTGCTGCTGCTGCTGTATTTGGACAGTGCTTCTTGTGTCAATTTCCCACGTAGTCTAATGAACAAATATCGGTAAGTTTGATTCATTCCGCCAAGATTAATTGTATTTTCTATAATATATTTTACCTATAGGATAAGATCTGTATAATTAATTTTTCTTTGAACGTAGTTGAATCATTTTTAAAAATAATTTCATCAAATTTTACTAAAGATAATTGCAGTATGTCTTATGAGAGTTCCAAAATGTTAACTGATTTAATTACTAATAGTTCCTTTGTTGCGAGGACAAAAAACATTTATGATAAGGCGTTGCAGTTTGAAATGTCTCATTGCTATGGCGTGCGCTACACGTCAAGCGACTATGAGAAATGATTAACTTTTCTGACTTATATGCGTGAAGAGATTCCGTATTTTAGAGTTCACACATAAATATATCCGCGTAGTTATTGTTTGAAGTTGGACCCTTTGAAAGGATAATTTTGTTTCTGCCATTGTTAACGTTTCCATAGTTTTTAAATGTTGAACTTATCTTGTAGATTTACAGCTTAACTTTACGTACGTAAACTCTTGAATTTTTCCTGTGTCGGATGAAGTTTTTATTAACAATTTTGTTGTAGGGATAAGGTGAAAGCAATGTTTTATCATGCATACAACAGCTATCTTTTTCACGCTTACCCGCTGGATGAACTAAAACCACTTTCATGTTCCGGTATGTTCTTAGAACAGATTTTGATTCATCATTTTACTGAGACTTACACATAGATAATTAATTTAATTTTTGGCAAAAACAGAAAATCTAATCACGAGAAAATATTGGCACTAATATGTTTATCTAAATATAAGATTACATAGCGCAGAATGCAATATTTTATTGGTAATTTTTTTATCGAAAGAAATGAGGAATTCCTCCTTTACCTGGTTCTTCCTTATATATTTTAAATGTTTAAATCTCTTTTCGAAATTTGATAATGTATCCATTTGATAATGATGCTTGTTTTTGCTAAATTGCATACTACAGTTCCACTTTAGGCGTGGATACATGGGGAAGCTTTAGTTTAACGCTGATCGATTCGTTGGATACGTTGCTTATTATGGGTAATGAGACGGAGTTCATTCGTGCTGCTGAAATTGTTCTTCGTAACGTTAAAGTTCATTTTCTTGTTAATTATTTCCGGTTACTTTATTTTGTTTAGGAGCTGACCTTATTTTATTGGGTATTTCCAATGAGTAGTTCAGTTATCATTTAATGATAATTGAAGTAGTTTAGAGGCAATGGGTGAGTAATGTGGAACCATAATTAAAAAAGGAAGACATATGTATGTCAAAATGAAAATATCCAAAAACTAATAAAATTTCAAAAATTTAGCGTTACACGAATCCTTTTACTTTCTCTTTTCCTGTTTAGGTTGATATGAATGTCAATGTATCAGTGTTTGAAACTAACATACGGATAATCGGTGGGCTATTAAGTGCACACATGCTTTCTGGACGAGTAAAAGGTTAATTTCTTTCACATAGCGATTGATTTTTGCAGTTTAGATTTAACATTGTTAGCAAAATAAGATTTTTTGTACGAATAACCTTATTGTTATTCTTATTTTACCTTAAGGAATGGCACTAGAACCGGGATGGCCTTGCTCAGGACCTTTGCTACGATTAGCCGAACGTTTTACTCAAAAACTGGTACCTGCTTTTAAATCTGGTACTGGAATGCCTTATGGAACGATTAACTTGAGGTTGTTCTTTTTTTATTTCTCTATTCACAAGGAAGATGAAAGAAAGCAAAAGAAATCAGTACTTGATATTTTCTTCCAACAGAAATTGGATTTAAAGCTATTTTGGGTTTGGATAGAAAGCCTGTTATATATGTAACTGTTCCAAAAGTTACGTGACAAATTTGTTTACTTTGAACCAGTTCGGATAGGTCTTTGTATACGTGAAATCTTTCAGACATGGTATTCATCCGAATGAAACACCCATAACATGTACTGCTGGCGTCGGTACAATGCTGTTGGAATTTGGGACACTATCACGCATTACTGTAAGAACTTGTACAATGTCTGATATGAAACAAGTTTTATAATTTAAAATTTGTGTACTTCTCATTTGCTTAAATTTGAACTGGATTATTTGGAGGCGTTCTAAGATTCTTTATTACAAAGTGTGACTAGAGTTTTTTCTTGCCTGGGAAATCTTTAATGCAAATTTGATATGATTTCAACAAATGTTTATTTTTGGGTAATCCATATTATGAACAACTAGCTCTGAAAGCTCTGGATGCTCTATGGAAACTACGTTCATCATTAGATTTGGTTGGAAATCATATTAATGTTGAAACTGGGGAATGGACCGCAACAGATGCTGGTATTGGTGCTGGTGTAGATTCATACTTTGAGTATCTCGCGAAGGCTGCTTTACTATTTCAGCGTCCTGAACTGATGAAACAATTCAAGAGTAAGTTGGATTGGGTGCTTCAGTCACTTTTATGACAAAAATAATTCTACATTTTAGTTTGCTACGTGGTGTACTTTCCAATACAGGGTCTATTTAGAGCATTGAAAAGTTCTTTTTCCAACAATGGTTGAAAAATTTTGCCAAAAGGCTTGTCAAGCGAATTTCATAAGTGTATCGTATATATGAATCTAGATAGCTTTATTACTTTTAGTTCCAAAAACGATAAATTATTGCAGCATACGTAAAAGCAATCAATAAATATATTCGGAAAGATGATTGGTTTGTATGGATTTCAATGACCAGTGGGCAATTATCAATGCCCATATTTCAGTCCCTGGAATCATTTTGGCCTGGTGTTTTGGTTAGTTATTTCAATCTTTTATTAAAATTTTGATGGCAGATTAAGGTTCAATTTATCGCCGTATCTTGTTAGGCATTGACGGGGGATGTTGATGATGCACAGCGAATAATTTACCAGTATAGTCAAGTGATACGACAGTATGGATTTCCACCAGAATTTTTCAATCTTCCAAAACAGGAAGCGGTTCGTTTTCGTTTTCTGTATTTTTGTTGGTAATATCACCTTGAATTTTATTATAGTGGATAAGGAAGGAAGTTTTTCATGTATTTTCTTGTTTAGCTCCAAATAGGTTTATAGCTTCTTAGTTCATTTAGCGAATTAACATGCAACAATGCTTGATTCGAACATTAAAAACATCTGATTGTCTCTTCATTTACTAATTGTAACGTTATTTTTTGCTAAAGATTATGAAACATGTAGGTATCGAAGCGTGCTGGTTATCCCCTGAGACCAGAATTCGTTGAAAGTTTATACTATATTTATCGAGCTACAAAAGATCCTTTGTTACTGGAGATTGCTGCTGAAGTGGTTGACGTAAGTTATTTTCGATTATTTATTCAAATGTCATGAGTGATCCTAAGTTTCTGGCAGTGTCCATTCTGTTAATTTACTTGTACCAGCCGAAGGAAGTAATGCAATGAATTTCTGCGCAGCTCAATGCAGATTTGCAAATTAGCGGAATTTTTGTTTTACAGTGAAGTGTGAAATTAATAAAATTAAGCTCTTTATATGTAACGAAATATTAATATTTTTTCATGTGTCAGTCAATCTGTTATATCCTTTTCTGTCAATCAATTAACCAGTTATGTTCTTTTACTGAATTAATCTATCACTTTATCACTGAATCAGCTGTAAGGAAAACTTCAGCAGTAAAGATGTAATTTATTAATTTTAGGCTATTGAACACAGTTGTCGTACGAACTGTGGTTATGCCACAGTTGTAAATGCCGAATATCATTCTGTTGAAGACAGGTTTATTTCTTATAGTTTCTTAGAATTATATTTTTCTCATTGATTATATGTTACCATTGATAAAGAGATCACTCAGATTTTCCTGATTTTTTTGAATAACAGGATGGAATCATTTTTCCTTTCGGAGACTACGAAATATCTTTATTTGCTCTTTGATCCTGATAATTTCATCAATGCTGACGGAACTATCGCACGTATTGTTGAAACACCGAATGGGCAGTGTATCATCGATGGTGAATTTTATATTTGAAAAAGCTATTCGTCCATCGCTTTTCGTTGCTTAGCTGCATTTTTGTTATTTATTTACTAGTCTTTTATTTAAATCCAAATACAATGCCTTTAGTGGTTTTATCTTTAAAACAGTTATGTATTCGCAAAATAACATTTTTAGCTGGTGGCTATATATTCAATACGGAAGCACATCCGCTCGATCCAGCAATTGTTTATTGTTGCAGCGCAAAACGTAGTAACGATTTGGAAATGATAGCACAATTCGAAAACAACATTGATTTTGCCTCATTGGCGGGAATTTTTGATGAAACATTACATCCGTTTGCAAGGAGATTGAATACTGTAAGTGATGGTTGTTGCTAAGTTATGAATTAATTCTTTTAGTACCCTGAATTCTATGTGGAATAATTAATTTGCATATCTCTTATTATATGATTTGTGTTTCGCACAGATCATTAGTTTACCTAATTAAATGTTTTCATAGATGATTTACTGAATTAACAAGTGGTTTATTAACAAATAATAAAGAAGTTGACAGTTAGCAAGTAATTTTCTACTGTTATCATATTTAAAGGTTGACATTACCCTTGTCTTCTCGTTGAATATAGTGAAGATTTTAAGCTTGATTTTAAATTCATGAGTTTTATAAATTTTATGTGATGTTTAATTAATGTTAATGGAATATAGTCAGGCATTAAATTTTTAGGAAAATATGGAAAATGATGTATACGATGTCTGGAATGCCCAAAAGGACGAAAATTTACTTAAACAATCGTTGACAAACCCTTTATTGTATGATTATGTTGCTGTATATGATGATCGCTGCTTGGTGGGAATTACTTTATTGGGATACTGAGATCATGCTTTTATACCTTATTTGTTCCAAACAGCATAAATTATTAGTGATTAACATAAGACAAAATTTACAGCTTGAGAAGAAAACGAAAGATATAAACTATCGGCAACACTGATAAGATTTTCGGAATTAAACATCGACTGAGTAGTGTTCTTAAATATTAGGCACGAAGTAGAGCTGTGTCAGTCTCAACATAGATAAAGTTACATATAAGATTTCAGAATTGCTGTTGGCCTACAGATTCTAACGTTGAAAATGTACCATTCCGCCGTTTTTTGAATGCAGTGTTTGCGAAGCATATTTATCCTGCAACGGGTATTAAGTTCATTGTTGGATTAATCTGTTTGTCGACTGATAACAATACTCACGAAGTTGATTGGCCCTGTAAGTTTATGTTCATTTTCTTGTATTATTTCAGGAAAAATCTCAAATGTATAAAATCATGTTCTCGTCTAAGGTTAGTTCGAAATTCTTATCGCAAAATTCTTAATGTTTCTCTGTTGTAGATCTTCATAAAGAGGATGTCGCTCAGAAGTTTGGTTCTGTTGATAAAATACGCTTCAATAAATTTCGTTATCGAAGTATGGCTGAAGTAGGCTACGATATACTTCTAACATCACCACTTTCTTATCTCTCAAGGTTTACTGGGTTAGGACAAGTGAAGCCTAAACCCGATGGTACACAATATTAATAGTTATTTTGTATTATACTTTTAATATTTGTTTATTGTAATCATTCAAACTATGGGCAACATTTTGTGACAACTATCCCGACAACATTTTGTGACAGCTACTCCAGTTATTGCTTCCCATCTATATCAATTAAAACGAATTGCCTTAGTTCTTGTTTATTTTCTTCCCATGCCTGTTTTTGCCATCTGAATTATGTTACCTTTTATACTCTAACAATATTTTAGTATTTCGCATTGAACGGGTTGCTTTAGCTGATTTAGTATTGTTATTAAAAAGTTAAATTATTGTTTTTTACTCATGGCTGTTTTTTATATTATTGTTATTAATTATTCTCTATTTAATTAATTTTTTCATAATTCGAATAAGGTGCAGCTCAAAATTGTCTGATATCGGTTTTTCAATTTTTTGATGTTGCTAAATTTCAAATGTCGATTAAATCTCTTATGAAACCAACCTAGTTATCATCTCTTATGAAAACCAACCTAGTTATCATTCTTTTTTATTAATTAATGTTGTTATATGTAGAGCAATAAATTTATTTCAAATCATTTTGTTCTAGTATGCATTTACAGTTATGGCAACATTTTCATTCCCTTGATATTTTTCGAAAGCAATAGTTTATTATTAAGAACTACACTTTAATATACTGCAATCTTATTTGTTTTAAAATTTTTACGACTCTGGAACCTTTCCGTACTCCTTAAATCTTTCCATTTTGTATGCAACCAATGGTTGCATATTTGCGTTTTCCGTTATCTTGAGCTTATATGAATCATGTGAATTGTTTTTTAATTCTTTACCACTGGAAAAGCTTTGGTTTCAATTTTTTGAGATTTTTCAAAAGTATCGATTAGTCTCTTTACCGACTCTATCCGTTGATTTGATTACAATTTTAAAAAGGCATTGTGAATGCCAAATACTATGCGTTTTTTCCTTTTTTTTATTCCTACCTTGACACTGCGTAACAATTTAAATAAGTAGTTTTCTAGGTGGATAAGTGATGTTGCGATTTCAGTTATTACTGCTGTTGCGTGACAATGCTTTTTCTATTGCTCGGCGATTGACTGTTAATGACTTTACGCTTCGTACGCATACGTGTGGAGAACTACGTGTAGGACATGAAAGTTTGCACTTTTTTGTTTCTCCAAATCGGGATTTCATTGTTTTGGAAATTTTACCCGAGACTGCTTATTTGTATTTTAAAGCTTTATTTATGTTCTTATACTTCAGATAAGTTTGAGTCTTGCAAGCAACACATATCTGAGACAGCCATTTTGCTAATGTATGGGTAGTGTGGTTCATAAATGAGATGTGTTTTGTTAATTGCAGCCGAGAGTGATTCCTTCATGATTCATGCTCATTATCAACCCGAAAATCATCCTCTATTGTTCAGGCCAAAAAGTTACTCTATATGGGTGGTTACAATTCATCCGTCTGAATCGTTTTCTCGTTTTACGAGATGCCTATGGCTATGTGCAGGCCAGAATCCCCGACAAAAGAAAGGATTTAGTCGAAAAAATCAAAATGGTTAACTGCGAGTCTGTTTTAAAAATTGAAGGAGTGGTTATTGATAGAGGTGAACAATATCGCAATGCAAATATGCCAACAGGGGATATTGAGGTAGATTCTTGTTTTCAAAAAGCAGCTTTATTGCAAATAGCACATCTACAAGAGATCTGAAATTGTGTTTTTCTTTCTCCCTAAGATTTTGGTTTTTGGTCAGATCTAAGCGAAAAATTCAAAACAACTGCGCGCAGTTTTCTACCTTCAAGCGCATCTTGAAATTTTCCGTTGGAACCGGAGGCTTTTGCAGGTACTAGTGAATGATTTTGAACTACTGAACGCTTCACCAGCAAATTATCCGCTGGATGAGGTAACATCGACGGAGGAAACGAAACTCCGATATCGTTTCCTGGATTTGAGAACAAAGCGAATGCAACGATCACTTAGGTCCTTTTCTGTATTTTTGTTCTTGAAAGAACTATATCTAAACTAAACATGGTGATTTATATTTACGAATTATTTTCAAGGCTAAGAGCAAATGTCGTTCATGGAATACGAAAGTATTTGATCGAAAAAGCGAATTTTGTTGAGGTAATTCTCCCAAGTTCTTAGCATTTTCATTGTACTTTCCGTTTTTTATGTGGAAGTTTTATTGAAGTCAGATAAGAATAGACTTTGAAATGTCTTATTGTGTTCTTTGGCGTACATTCCATAGTACCGGTAGTTTAATTATATTTATAGCGGTGATTCTGGAAAAGTTTGCATTTATAGTAGCAGGTAGGATATTCTGCGATAGTGTTATTTTTATGATAGTTGAATTTGCATCTGCAGTTTAGTTTTAAACTCTTGCCAAAAATTTGTTGAAAAATTTTTTTTCATTTGCATCAGTGATTGAGAAGAAATTTTTCTTGGAATTAAGATTTTAATATGTTTCATTGATGCAGGTTGAAACACCAACTCTATTTCGCCGAACTCCCGGTGGTTCAAATGAGTTTATTGTTCCTGCACCGAAACCGAATCTCGGGAAGTTTTATTCTTTGCCTCAAAGCCCTCAACAATTCAAGCAATTGCTGATGTGTGGTGGTATTGATAGGTACTTTCAGGTAAATAGAATAAAAGTTCGTAATTTATTTTCGAAATGATGAATGTAGCTTTTACTTGAAAGCCTTATAATAATCAATATATTGTATAATAATAATCAGTATATGAACAGATTTTGGGAATATATTGTATTATTTTCTGCAACAGCTAGAATGTTGGCTGCCACAAGAGATTGAAAAAAAATCAAGAGTTGTTTTAACGGAAAACTTATTCGAATTTAAAGTTTTTAATTGCCCCAACTAGAAATTTTTGAAGATTGCTCGGTGCTATCGTGATGAAGGTGCAAAATCAGATCGACAACCTGAATTCACACAAGTTGACGTCGAATTATCTTTCACTGATCAAGATAATGTTATGAAACTGATAGAAAATATTATTGTGGAATCATGGCCCAAAGAACTGGTGTGTTTCTAGAATTAACTATCATTCTCTAATTTCTGCAAATGATTAGCATGGACGAAATTTAAAGTCAAAATAAGTACGCAATGAACATTATGACCAGAATTTCAGGATGATCTGAAGCCCTCAGCACCATTCAGGCGGATGAAATATTTGAAGGCAAAGCGTTTATTTGGTACTGATAAGCCAGATCTGCGTATTCCATGGACCATTGAAGATTGCACTTCCGACTTTTCATTTCTACGAAGGCGTGAAATTTCAAATTTCGTTGTGAAAATTTTCATTGCCAGAAGTGCAGAAGATGTTATTAATGGGGGGAGTTGGAAGGAATGGACTCGAATTCTGCAAGACAATGTATTATCACAGGTTTGCGGTGTTTCGATTTCATTACTTTCTAATGCGTTGCAAACATTGTAGTCTGAAGTAGATTGCGGTATTTCTGCAATTCATTTCGAGGTCTTTAGCTGCATCTTTATTTTTTTCCCAGTTTTAATGTTTTGTAGAAAATTTTAAAATAAAAGAAGTTGTCGCTATCATAGAGTAAACTTTTAGCACCAATTTCTTTTTCTTTATTTTTGGCTCTTTATAATAACGTTCATTATTACCATTTCTTAAATCTAGAAAATTTCAGAACTCTAAATTTCTGAAAGCGTCGGAAAAGAACTGGTTTGCAGAAATTCCAAACGACGTTCTGATAGAAAAATTTGGTATTAAAGAAAAAGATGTTGCCATCATATCGTGAGCTTTTTTGATTTTTGTAATAAATTCTTATTCTTTCGACCGTTAATACACAGTGAATATCATTAATTAATGAGTGATTAAAAATCAGTATATTTATTTATTCTATAGCAATGCTACAGTCGTCAGTGGATGATTTTTCCATAAGTGAAGATACGATATTCAATAGAGAAAACAATATCGTAAAAATCGCATGATTGCTAAGTAAAGATAGTAGTTGTATATTTTGCGTTATTTATCTCATGTTTCATTACACAGTGTGAGATAATTAACAGTGTAATTAGATCCTTTTTAAAAAACGTAAAATGAAATGGTTTTGTTTATGTGGGGAGATGATGCTGGCGTAAAATGGACACTTGGTCAATTGCGGCACTTGATTGGTGAAGCGATGCATCTGCGGGCTGAGCAACGCATGGAATTTGTTTGGATAACACATTTTCCCTTGTTCACAGTTAATGCGGAAGGTCGTCTAGAAAGTGCTCATCATCCTTTTACTGCTCCTATACCAGATGATATACCATTACTCTACGAACCGAATAAACTTCTTTCGATTACCGGTTCTTTTTTATTTTAGCAGTTTATTTTTAAAAAGTGGGATTAAATAGTGATTGAACACAAATATAACAAAAAATTTCTTATAATGTTTCGTAGTGAAAATTGTATTGTGTATGTTACAAGAATGTTGAAATCATGATCCTTTTTCTTTTTTTGGATTTTGTATGGAAACGAATGTTACAGGTCAGCATTATGATTTGGTGTTAAATGGTGTTGAGTTGGGTGGTGGTTCAATCCGAATTCATAATGAGGATATTCAGCGACACGTATTATCTACGGTACTTGGTGAATCGTCGGAAGAATTTGTATGTTCTACAAAATCTCGTTGCTTTTTTCTTTTAATTTAATACATTTGACACATTTAATTATATAGTTGGCCAAATATGAATAATTTTTATTTCAAAATTGAGTTTACCTGTATCCGTTTTTCTTCAGTTCTACATGCCTGACATATCATACAGAATTGCTTTTTTTCATAAATATTTTGGCGTCTAGTTCTATCCTTTTTACAACGCATTGATTATGGTTTAGTATTAATTTCAGGAGCATTTGCTAAAAGCATTATCTTATGGGGCTCCACCTCATGGTGGTTTTGCAATTGGTCTTGACCGATATATGGCTTTACTAGTTGGACGAGGGGATTCAAGTGTACCAATTCGAGATGCTATTGCTTTTCCGAAAAGCAAAGAAGGCAACGACCTTATGACTAGATGTCCTGTTGAAGCTACTTCGTTACAACTGAACAGGTATAAATACCATCAGATTTCATTTGATTATAAATATGCTTCATTTTTGAAATATAACTTTGCAAAATTCAATCAATCCACATGAGGAAATCGCATTCGTTGGCATTTTGAGCATTATGGAAAAGATACTCTTCTAATGATATTTAACAGGTTAGCAACGATAAGATGTAGAAAATAATATAAGGAGCATTTTCGATAATCCAATCATTTACTCTAAATATTTATATGGTTGCATATTGAGGTACGGCATCTCTGTAACTGTAAGGAATGATGTAAAGGCAGCAGGTGGCGAAATTTTAGGAGAAAAAGATGGCAAAATTCAATCAACACGCTAATGATCTATTGTTTTGTTGAACTATTATTGTTACCGTTTATGTAGATATGTGGTAGAGGCATGATTGTTTTAGAAATATTCAATTTTAAGTCAATTATGGATGAGCAGTTATTTATAAAATGAATTTAAACTAATATTTTCATACGTGACTGACATTTTCATTTTTGTATGTCATAATATTGTTGTCATTGTTCCATCTTAGAAGTTGTCGCAATAAATTGTTTAGTTATAAGATGTAAAACGAACATTGAGCTAACGAACCGGGAGTGAACATCTCGGGCACAGATTGACTGAAAGAATTGTATAAGTAATTTGATCATGATTTTTCTAGAAATTCAAATAATGCATAAAATAATTATGTTGGATCTGTTAAAAATCCCGCACCAAGACGTTCATATATTTTAAGCACTATTCGGAATTAAGTTTCATTCAATCCTAAATGTTAGGGTGATTTTGAAGTTGGTAAAATTTAAAACTTAGTTAGGTTTGCTTCTTGTACGCTATTAGTTGTAATAGAATTCACAGTGAGGATTAGTTATATTAGAAAATAAAGTGTGGTTTTGACTGAATTATAAGCTGTGTGGGAATATCTTATGATATTGGTATGCTTCGAAGTAGAAACTGGATCTTCATTGAATGAATACGCTTACGGGTTGGAAGAGCATGATGACGGAACAATAGTGGTTCAAACCGGTTCTAGCTAATGAACGAGGTATTTTCATTGGATGTGGTGTTATGTGGATGGTTATGTTATTAGAAGATTCGAAATAAGATGCATAACCAAGTTCAAGGAACGTTTGGTATGGAATAGTGAGTTGGGACCTCACCACTTTGTATTTATAAATCATTGAATTTTAGGTTCCGATTCCTTATTACTTCTTTATTTCCTTCGTTTGAAATAGAATTCTTATTTTATTGATATTTTCATAGAGATGATAAATTCTGGTCGAATTATTTAATTCCGATGAGGCCTTTTTTCGTAGAAAAATTTTGTAGAAGTCTAATATATAGGCTTGATACATAGACAATAAATTAATATATGTTTAATATATAGAAAGGTGTAATAATTTAAAGGTTAGCAGTAGTGAGCTGTTCTTACGAGCACCATACAACTACATTGTCAAAAGAGAGGAATTATTGTTTAATCATTTAAATGTTTAGCTAATTTAGGTAATAGTTCAGTTCATGTAATTTCAGCAGAAAAGGTTATAGATTCAAATCTTACATTCGGTTCTTGATAATAATTGAGTTTATCTTTCATCACTGTATCATGTTTGTTTCAATGTTACAATGATCGATTTTATCATTTTTTTTCTTTTTTGAAATAGATTATTTTGCTCATATAATTTTTTTAGTTTTATAATTAAGTAATTTTAATTTCTCATTTGAATATTAGTTGTATTTTCAGTGGTCACTTTTTAATTCTAATATATTTTTAGTAAAGAAACAAAAAGAAAATCATACAGCTGTCAATTATTTAATATTATAGGAATATGACGTTGAATTAAATCATGCGAAATATTTTACTCATTTCATTATTCCGTCAATGTAGTATAAAATTCCCTGTAATTTATTGTTCACTTATTTTATATATGTTTATTTTAAATTCATTTCATTCATTCGTTATCTCATAACTTTCCACTCTACTCCATAGTAATATGAAATTATGAGTATGACTAAAATGACATAAATGATCGGAACTTTTTTTGAACTTTTAAACCGTTAAACTTTTGAACCACAAAAAAGGGGAAAAGGAAAAATGGATAAATAGTTTGAATAAACAGGTATCGTTGTTTCGGTGATATTTGTTGTTGTTTTTTTTTTTTTAATTGGAACTTTAGAAATTGATCAGATTTAAACAGAATAAAATAAATAATGATTAATTTTAAATGGTACCATTTAAAGTTAATTGGACATCGATTGATTTAAATAATATCATTATTGACTGGACATTTACATTTTATGGCGATAAAGCTTAACTTAAGGTGGAATTTGACCTTTACGATTTATCTTGTTGTCCATCGTATCGTAAATGATTTTTAAAAAAAATTATTAATGTTGCTAGTCGGATAAAAAAAAAAATTACGATTATTACGATTTATTACGATGTTCTCTATTACTATTACGATTATTGCGATTATTTTAAAAGTTTTTCTTTGTTTGATTATGAGAATTCTATTTAGATGATATTTTTAATATTATGGTTGAGTATTATCAAGCTTCTATTACAATATCCGCAAAATGCTATAAGCCAAAAATTAAACACATCTCTAATGATACCTTTATCCAGGTGATTTTGTTTTTCCATACTAAACCTGAATTTTCATGTTACCCAAATTTTCATGTTTAATTACTAAATTCAAAATCATTTGCAATCCAAAACAGGATTACTCTGCTGAACAATATTAACATATCATAAGAGGAATTTCTTTTTTTAAAACAAAAAGAAAGAATGGATAAGAGAGAATTATCAAAGCATTTGAATTCTTAGGGAGCTATAAAATGAGAATTAAAAAATTTTCTAGATTACACACTGGCGGTGAAGAGCGGTGCTGTGGAAGATGCGCAATGCAATTGATGAATGATTTAATTAAGAGGATTGGTAGCAATGAAACATCAAAATTAATTAATCTTAACTATAATAATTTCTTATTTGCAATGTCAAATGCTACAATTCTTCAACATTTTTGCAAGTTTGTTTTCTTCCATTATTAATTAACAATTTTCGTTAATTAATCATTTCAATTGAAATACATTATTCTATTATTCTTTCTATATTATTTATGCTATTATTAATTAATAATTTTTGTTAATTAATCATTTAAATTGAAATATATTACTCTATTACTCTTTCTATATTATTTATGCTATTATTTTTTATATTACTTTTTCATCTATCTTTTTATATTATTTACATTATTCTTTTTCTACTACTATCTTTATTGTCTTGCTTCCGTTCTTTTTCAGTCAAATTTAATTTTATGTTTTAAATTTTAAAAAGCAAGATTTTGAATTCAAATTTTTTATATTTAAAATATTTAAGTTTTTCATTTATCTCGCCAACTCAGCTTTTCTACTGAAATCTTCATATTTTGTTTTAGAAAATTAATACGTTTGTTGTCGTTTGAGAATGATTCGTTTGAGTTATTAATTAATATTTCGATTTTTCAGTTTTTCAGTTTTTGAAAATTTCCCACCCATACTAGTAGGAAATTTTTAATATTGATACTCGTAAAATAATTGTTAGCATAAAATAAGCTAATTACTTAAAATAACTAAGCGATAAAGTCATTATTTAAAAGAGTATAACGAATTAATTTGAATTTATTATTTAAAAGTGTACAACGAATTAATTTGAATTTATTATTTAAGAGAGTGTAACGAATTAATTTGAATTTGTTATTTAAAGGTGCTTAAGAAATTTTTTTTAATTTATTAATTAAAGGGTGTGACGAATTAATTTGAATTTAATATTTAAAGGTGCTTAACAAATTTATTTAAATTTATTAAGAAATGTAACGAATTTATTTTAAATTTAAAATGCATAAATTCAAAAATAATTACGAATGTAAATATCATGAAATAAATTAGCCATTAACGAATTTATTTAATTAATTCAGTTTTAAGCATACATCAAATATGCGCTATGATGTAACATTTTACATTAAATTATTTTTATTTATTTTATAATATTTTCATTTATTAATTATTTTTAATTTTTGTATAATCCGAATTTTTGCATTTGAGAGAATTTCATCAATTTGAACAATGTTGTTCAACGTGTGCTCCAAGTTATTCACAAAAAATTTTAATGGGATATTCTGAAATTATCGACCAGATATGTGTTTACAATTTTAAAGGTTACTTATTCTCTTTTTTCAAATTTTGATATTCTTAATTCATTTCTCATTAATATCTTTAATTAGTGTTAATTGTAGCCAACCAGGATTGTTTTTCAAATATAACATATTTAGCTATTTGATATAATTTTAATATTTGAAATCGAAATTATCATCCATCTTTCTTAATGCTGTCAAAATTTATCGCTATTTCTTATATTTTAAAAAAAATTATTTTATTTTAAAAGATATAGTAAACAGTTTGCCGAATAAATTATATTCAATTTTTGCCTTTAATTAAGTAATTAATTAAGTAATTGTATATTTTGAAAAATTTAATTACAAATTATTTTTAAATAATTATAGAAATACATTTTTGTGTAATTTAGATATTAAAGAAAATTTTGGATGTTTGGCTCGATTGGATTCACAAATGATACAACTTTGTATGCATACATGTACACCGTATCAGGAAGCATTTCATTCTATAGCTCGAAATTTTCGACATTTCATTCTTAATAATGATGTAAATATCCTCGAAAATTATTTGAATGAATCATGCGAGTAAGTTTTTAAAATATATAAAAATTTATTAATGCAACGTTTTTGACTAAATGTAAGAGAGTGATATAAATGATCAGGAAGATTTGATATATTAGGTGAACCTACAAAGGACAAGTAAATTATAGTGTAATAAGTAAACTATGGCAGGTGAACTATGATAAGTGAACTGAACTTTGACATGTAAGTTATGTTATTAAAATAAACATACCATATAAAATAAATAAACATATAAAATAAACATATGTAGTAATTTTAATTTCTTAATATACTATTTGATAAATTTAACTACTGGAATGATGAATCATTCACTTTAGATATGTTCTTTGTTCATTGCATTGTGATATTCCACTGATTGCTCATAATTGCGGCTATGAAATAGTTGAAAAAGTTATTGCATTAACAAGAAAATCATTCAAGTCATTGGAGAAGATGTCACTCGACATAGCTGTTATCAACAGGTTTGTTTCATTAATTTGTTGCTGACAGTATTTCAATATTTGACAATATTTATCATACTAATGATAGCAATGATACTATATCATCCATATCATACTAACAATATTTTCTGACAGTTGCTGACAGGATTTCAATGACTACTACAATTTCTGAATTATAATTTAAGCCTAGAAAAGTTGATTTGTTATGGCTAATTTGTGATAAGAATGTTTAATGCTAATCAAAATATCAACAACATATGGTTGCTTTTCAAAATAATAGCGAAGATTTAGAAATGAAACCTAAAATCTGAATTAATTTTATAGTATGAAATGATTTTAAAAGATAATATCATTGCAATTCATAAGTCTAATATATCAATAGAATTAAGAAATATCATTGCAAAATTTATGCATAAAATAAAATATCAAAAATAATAATTTCAGGTGGCCTAAAGCGTGTTCCGAAGTAATCAGTTATAGGATACCTGAACGAAATTTAACAATTAAACAACAGAGAAATTCGACTATCATAAATCAGACACAACAAATGAAGCAAATTGAAACAAACGGTGATGGAAATCAAAAATTGATCAAATTGTTATCATTATTATTATCACTATTCATCTATTTTACGTTGGAATAAAATTATCAAATGAAAAAATTACACAAAATTACGAGCAATTTTATTACTAATTATAAGAATTAAATTTTTCAAAATGTCGAAGCAATTAATCTGTTTACATTTACTAATTAATTAACTAATTAGTCAGCATTCCATCGATAGCATCTACAGCGGAATATGTCATCCTATAAACGAATAACTTGTTATAACCAGTTCAATAGTAACATTATTAATTACTTTTTCGATAATATTTCATTCAATCTTATCAACATGTTTGAATTTTATTAGCTTCCTCTAAAAATATCACTAAAAACTGAGAAGTAACGAGAGAAAATGATAAAAAGAAATTATCATTTTTTATCAAATTTCCAAAACTTTTGGATTATCACACAAATTATCTGTTATTAAAAGACAATTAATTATGGTTAATTTATTTAATTAAATATTTTCAACATTTGAAAATTATTCATATCATATTTGATTTATTTAAATAGCGATTAACTAATTATACATTCAACTTGATGTAATTATATTATTTATTTTATATTATATTCAGTTATTCAAAAATATTGTGACAGCTTTTTTATTGGGAATATTTCTTTTCATCTGTTTGTTATAAATGCATAAAAGAAAATCTTTCTAAAATCTATTTAATTTTAAAATAGAATTAAACTTTGAAATATGATTCAAAAGGATATATTTTCTTTGCAAATGGCAGCATTTAACTATTGCTAAATCAATTAATTAACAATGTCGTAGTCAAATTTATTGCAATATCAAATTTCAAAAGTTGATAAATTATAGGTATTAGTGATATTGGATTCGTTATCATTTCATTTTTTTTTCTTTTCCCTCCTAGCAAGATGATAAAAATTGATTGATTGGTGGAATAAAAATTTTCCAGGAAAAGATTTTCTTCTATTCAAAATTTAAAATTAGCAAACCTAAAATAAGGAGTACCATATATTTACTTGTGAAGATAATAAAATAAAATAAAATTAATTGATATAATAAAATAAAATTAATATTGATAAAATTAATATTGGTGAAAAGAAATTTCTAAACTACATTTTACCAATATAGAAAAATCACTTGATGAAGTATGAATGATGACGAAACGATGTAAAATTTTACGAATGATAATGTCAAAATAAATATCAATGTTTATTATCAAAGTATCAAAATTTTATCAAAGTTTTGTTAACCAATAATAGTTTTATCATTTACATTTAAAATTTCAGTAATCTTGAACAACTAAAAAAAAATTGTTGAAATTTTTTGCAACATTTCAAATTTCATCCTTACATTGGATATTTTCACTTTATTAACGATTTAAATAAATACTTATCATTTGATGGAAATAAATGACTGATGATGAAACATTTGTAAAATCGTCGTATCAGTGATAATATCATTACAAATTACCATTTCAGTTAAAATTGTAATCGAAATTCAAATATTGAAAAGAATGTTCACATAAATCAATTTAATACAAACAAAGATAAATAATAATTCAAATTTATCCTTGATATTGATAAAACGATCTTTAGAATATGCCACATAAAATTACTCATGTAAAACGTCGTAAAAAAAAAGGGAAGAAATTTAGTTTGATTGTTAAATTTACCACATTCTATGATACAATTCATCTTTCAATTTTCAAGGTTGCTAAATTTTTAGCAAATCGGGTATTTAAGGGATGATATTGAAAGTATTAGTTTTCACTTTATGCTTCATTCATGTATTAACACATTTCCTTAATACATGAATTATTTCTCTTAACAAAGAAATTTAATACTGAAAAATAATTTGTTGAATATTTCAAAATCAAAATATTATTGATTTATAAGTTCTAAGTATTTTATTTTAATTACCGTAGACGTTATGAATAATTCTTTTTCAATCTTTATTCATAAAATTATAAGCTACCGTTTATCTTTAAACTCTTATGCTAATTATATTTGTTTTCAAATTTGATTTCACCTTAACTATATGGTAAAACATGCGGTAAAATATTTCTAACGAGCGTAATATTTCAATTTCTTTTATTTGCATAAATACGAATTAACTCCTTCACTGTATCCGTACAGCTATAGCCGTGCAGAACTTTAGCATTTGTCATTTAAGTAGCAATTACAATAGTGGTAGTAGTAGTACGGCTTCGAAAGTTTAGTTTAGACGAAGGACACGAATTCCATCGTCCATTTGAGAATTGAATTTTGTAAGTGCTCATCTCTTGTAAGCGACTATTAATCGTGTTTTGATATACATATATGTCTGAATTGAGAAAACTTTTAAGACATAAAAATTTTTAAATCTTTCTTTTACTAATTACTTCGAATTACTAATTACTAATTATTTCATTGATATTCAAAATTTATACAGCGAAATAAAAAATTTCCATAATTTTCAATATTTATTTTTGTCTATTTCAGGTAATCTGAAACAAAACAATTAGCATTTGATTTCTTTTGCTAAATACTTCATTAATTACTAATTACTTTTCTCTAATTAATAATTATTTTTCCTGCTAATTACTTCATCGATTCAAAATTTATACAGTGAAATAAAACATTTCATAATTTTCAGCATTTAGTTTTATTTTATTTTAGGCAACGTGAAACAAAAGAATTTGCATTAGATTTATCTTCCCGCGAATTTAAAGTTCTTTTATATGATTATTTTAGTAAATTTATTACGTCTCTGTTGTTTTCATTAATGAAATAATTATCAGGTATGAATTCCGGATTCGTTGTTTGCTATTTATTATATCTCTTTTTCGATATTCCGGAAATTTCTGCTGAAACGGTTTGTTTATTACATTAATTCCGTTTCTTTCAATCCTTATCAATTTCCAATCAAAGATTGCTAATCAGTTTCTGAAAAATAATAAAAACGGCAGCTAATATAACTTCCGATCTCTCTGACTTTATTATACATGAAACTGTGATTTTTTATAAGGCGAATATGTAAGAATGCGTGATTCCTCTCAACGTCAAATTATTAGAATACGCGAGATACGTGATTATTACGTTGGTAATACAAAAAAAAAATATCCCAATTCTAATGATTGAATTGGAAATCATCTTATCTTAATTTACAAAGAATTCAACTTCGCTAGAATTTTAATAATTGTGCAGATGTTTTTTTGACTTTTCATTAATGTGAAAGAGAATGCAATATTGGAATTGAATTAATATGAAATTTTATTAAAAGTTATTATACTAATTAATAACTCAAATATCTATAATTAAATTGCAAAGTATTTCGAAATTGTATTTTAATTATTCAATAAATTAGTAGTTTGTTTTCTTGACGATTTGTTATTTTCGTAAAGCGAATGTTTATTTGTTTAACCTGAAATATGGTCGTGATTAAATTGGTGGAAAGTATTATTTACATAACACGGCAAACGTCGTTCCATAATTGATTCGAACGACTATAGTCACAATAGTATTAGACTTTTTGGAATTCAAATTGCACGAATTTTTGAATGTACTGAAATGTACTACAATTGATTTTTAGCTGTTCTCTCAAACTGCATGCTAGAAAACTATTTTTTATTTGATTTTCTAATTAATTAAATTTTCTTAATAATTAATTCCAATTATATTCGTGATTTTTAAATATTAAAAAATCTCTATTTTGAAATTTCGAATCACCCATAAATTGGTTCTGAAAATTAAATTGCAAAACAAAATTTAAAAATACAGTTGAAAAAGAAGACAAAATTGAAAAACAACTGATTTTGCAGTGGAGAAAAAAAATGAAGTGACTGTGGTAATAAAATCATTTTTGCAATTACTGTTGTAAATTAATTTTAATTTTAACATTTTAGTTTTAAGTCCTTTCTTACTCCTGTTTTATGATTATCTTTGTTTTTAGAATGCATCAAAACTTATTAGTAGAGTAAAGCGACAGTGCTGCATGAAAATGGCTGATTGTTGTGGCAATCTACAACAACAACAACAACGACAGCAACAACAACAACAACAACAACAACAACAACAGCAACAACAGCAACAGCAACCGATAGCAGTAGTACCACTGATGACATCATATCCACTACAACCAACACCTGTATTGCAACAAGAAAAACAATGCAATTGTGATAGTTTACTAGCACAAGTTTGCTTTTGCTTCTGCTATTTGTAATAGTAAATTGAAATTTCCTAAATGTTAAATTATAAATGTAATACTTTATATTAAAGTGCAGTAAATAAGGATAACGTTAAAGTGAGTTAAATAAATGAATTAAACAATCATTAATTAATTAAAGGTTTAATTTCAATAATAATAAAATTAAGGACATAAAGCTATAAAGTAATATGAATAGAAAGTAATCTTAGCATTCCTTGTTGAATTTTTTTGTGAAAAAATTTTCAATTACAGGTGAAATTATGTGATTGTGCAAATATTGAGCGAAATCAATGTGGTTGCACACCAGCTGCACGCTTAAATTGCAATTGCGCTGAATTGCAAGAGCAGCATGGAAATTGTGGATGTGGACCACTTAATTATGATGTAACTACAATGATTTTTTTCATTGCACTTTGGGAAAGAAGTTGTGTAGCTTATCATCCTTTTAATGGGCCTAATTATCATTCTTATTATCATGATTTTATCTTTATAATAAGTACTCATCATTTCTCTTTTTGCTACTCTTATTAGCAATATAATCATGACTATAATCATGATTTTTTCACATTTAAAATATGAGCGCCTGGTTTAGAAGACATCTTAAGTTAGAATTTGCCAGAATTTCCGATTCGATGCAGCATCTATCAAGTTTTGACTGAAAGAATATTATTAAGAAAAATGGACATTGTTTCTCTATATATGTATGATATTTTTTTATCAATGTTAGTGATGCAAAAAATCGTTATCGTTAAGTATAGTAAAGTAATACGTTAGTCATTTCAACGATTGTTAAGTATAATAAAGTAATGAGAAAGTTATGGATCATTTGTTATCTCAACGGTTAACATTTCAATTTCCAGTTGAATTGCAATTGTCCGAAACAAAGAATTCGCTGTATGCCTGCATGCATGCCTGATTGTTCAAAGCAATGTATTGATCAACAATTGACCATCTTTAATAGTCAGTATCAGCAACAACAACAACAGCAACTACTACTACCACAACTACCACTACAAATGGAGGTAATGCAGAGGAATGCAACTAATCCTTTTATACGCCGAGGTGGATAGGTTACGAAATTTGCAGTTATATAATTTTTAATTGAATAAGAAATAGCGAACGATATGAGAAAAGAGATGGAGAAAAAAGTTTTTTTTTATCAATAATTCTTATTCGGATTTATTGCAGTGCATTGCATTCTGCATGCCGTTTTGCGAATCGCAATGTGTGAAAATGTTCGAGCCAGGTCAGATACAACCTTATTTGCAACCTTTCATGCTGCAGTCGCAACCACAACCATCAGTTTTTGACATGCAGAATGAACTTTTCTATATCAACAATGCTCAACAGCAACAACCATCAATTTTCACGATACCCTTGCAAGGTCAATCTTCTCTACCCCTTTCATCACAGTCTTGTCCACCCAATTGTGCAGCTAACTGTCCATCTCAGTGCAACACTCAGAACTGCTGTCAAATGTGTCAAAACTTGCTACCCTGTCAGCCCACTGTTTCACAAAGCCAACAGCCGGTTCCAGTAGTACAAACGAAGCAATCCCAATGCGTACCAAATTGCATGCCATTCTGTGAACCGCAATGCATTCAACAAGCTTGCACACCTGCCTGTCACCCAATGTGCGAACCACAATGTATAGAGAAAGTACGGAATCAAGTATTACTCCTTGCGCAGCAACAATCACAGCCAGCTCATTTCTTACCTCAACAACAATTATTTCACATTTCACCTCAATCAGTACAACAACAAACGATGCATGCACTACGACCACCACCGATACCTCAAAAATATTGCATAGAGCAGTGTATGCCTCATTGCTCGCAAGATTGTGTGCAAAAATTTTGTGTTGATGAATGCAAACCTGATTGTTTACCGGAATGCATGAAGCAACAAAGGAAAGTTTTTCTTGTCACGCAACAGGAACAACAACAACAACGGGAACGACAATGTGCAACACAATGCCAACCAGAATGTCAACCGGAATGCATTGCGCAAGCTTGCGTGTTAGCATGTCAACCGATGTGCGATCCTCAATGCACGCAGCAACAGGAGCCCATCGTAATAACAAATGGAGCACCGCTAACAGAAGTATCACCTGCCAAAATCTGTTTATCAGCATGCATGCCAAATTGTTCACAAAACTGCTTGTATGAACAGCAGAAAATACAAACAAGCCCATTCCGGCTGCATTGTCCACAAGCATGTCAACCGGAGTGCAAACAGCAATGCATACAACAACAACAGGAAATGTGCTCCAAAACATGCTTTCAGTCATGTCAAACATCTTGCAACAATAATGCACGTTGTGTACAAGAATGTAGCGCAAATTGTGAACTTTCGTGTATGGACTTTCTGCAACAAATTCCGCAAGCAATATCTCCAATTAAGCAGCATTCACCGGAACACGAAATACAAGGATGCGGAATGACTTGTAAGGTATGAATTCCTCCACGGAGCATTCATTTTCTAAAGTGTTAATCATCAACTATAAATTTTTCCATTATTTATAACATGTCTAGACATCGATGGATATTTATTGTAGGCTATGGAACCATTGCGTTGCGTACCTCAATGTCAACCAACATGCATGAAATCATGCATTGAGCAGCAAACATCCGGTCAATATCAACAGCTTCAACCTATGAGAGATTGCATGCAACAACAGTCTAACGGATGTTCTTGCATGATCGGATATACGCCTTGCTCGCAGAACAATTGTTGCCTGAGGCGACGACATCAAGTCAAACAAAAACAATAAGCTTCTACATACATTCTGCATTTTGCACTTACAATAATTGACTATGTTTGAGAGAAAATTTCCGAGAAAAAAATTATCTGATAAGATCAATTCATTACATTGGTTCAATTAAAAGTTTTCAAATTAATTCACATAGCCTTTGCACGCCTAACTCAACGAAATTTGCTTATCAATGATGAAATTGCTTGTTAAATTATTGTTATTTTACCTACTTCAATTTAATTCTATATTGCAATAATTTTTAAAATACTTTTATCAGACTTTTATCTGCCTTGATATTTTACTCCAATATCAACTGTTTTCGAGAATTCGCATCTCACTGATAAGTAAGTGACAGTTGTTGATCACGAGGGATCTTTATCAAAGGTTTTTGAATATTTTATCCGTGCAACTATCCCTAGATCCCTCTAATATCATGTACCTTATAGGCTTTTTGCTACATTATGATACTTTTGTCGGATTTCTACGATGTTTTTTGTCCATGAATAATATATATGAATTGCATATGTGTGAAATAAAAAATTAATTTTATTCGATATTTTAAAATAACATACGCATAGAATATTTGCTTTTATTTCCTTCTTTCAGAAGGTTAAGTGAATTTTAATTTAAAATCGTTTTTTACCTTACAGGTGCAATAGGGCAAATTTCAGTATTATCTATAATTTTCGGATAAATAGATAGTGTAAAAAGTGCACTAAATTCTATCATATTTTCTAAGTAGAGACAATGATTCTTAGTATATCGTCGCTTCAGAAATGATTTCAAATTATTTTACTATGTAGAAAACAATGAAAGAATATATTATTATTTAAAAAATAAATTGGCTTCATAAATAATTACAATTAATTCAATCTTTTTATAAAGCAAACTTCTTCCAAAATTACTGTGAATTTAAATTTCAAAATAATTTTCTCTAATTATATGAAAAACGATTAGATATGATCGATATCATACAAAAACAAAAGCTAATCTGAATATGCAAATTTCATTCGAATAATTTTGCAGTTAAATGTTCTTAATTTTTACATCTTACAATGTAATAATAATTTGAATAAAATATTTGATAGTATTTCACTAAAATTATTAGATCAACCTGAAATTATACTTGAAGATAAAGCTGTTGGAGTAATGAAAATATTAGAAATACAAATCAAAAAAAAACATTATTACCATTTTTTACATAAAATTTATATTCGAACAAAACTAAAAATTAGGATGATAATAATATAAATTTATTGTTTATTCGTAGGTCATTTCTGTTGACCTCTGTTATATTATGATTGTATTCATAGAGAAACTTCAAAGGTTAAAATTTTTAATTTTCATTCCTAATAACTGAATATTGTTTATTAGAATTAAATGTAGTCGAAAAACTTAGGTAAATTTCTTTAAATTTTCAACGAGACTTATCACCATGTAAATTTTCAAAACTGATCGATTAGAAATTTAATTAGGTAATTTAATAAATTACTTAGTAATTTCTATTTTTAATAGAATCAGCTAATTTTCAATGAGAACTTCGGAAATTTAAAAATGGATGGGAAGTAGAACGAAAAGAGAGATAGTGAAAAAAAACCGGGAATGTTTGTTCTGTGAAATCGTTTCTGAAAATTCATTTCAGAATGTTGATTTTGTTATCACTGATGAATGCTTCTCATGTACCGTACCATTAGTCATCGGTGGTATATTACCATTCCAAACAAATGGACGAAAATGTCGAGTTTTTCGACGATCATAACAATGTTTCAGTCGAGCGCAATTCGCATAAATGATAAATACCAAAAGAAAAATCTGGAAAAGAAACTAATTTTAGGTTGAATCATTTTTTCTGAAATTTATACAATTTTAGGTTGAATCATTTTTTAACGTTCTTTTTTCGTCCATCACACAAAAACTTTTATTTTCCTAAATAATTATTGAATTTAATTTCTGATTACTGACCAATAAGACGATCAGAATTATTGGTACAATAACAAATGCCATTCTGGTAATTTGTTTTTGCTCATTCGAAGCAATATGTTCAATATTTCCCACATAACCACGTTCAAATTGAACTGCACTTAAATGAAATATCTGAAATAGAATTTAAATTTTTGAAAGAAAAAAAGAATTTCAATTGTTCGGAAATTTCTGGCAGATATTATTAAACAAAATTAATATCATAAGCTAAAGAAAAATTGGCAGTGTAATTAGCAAATATAAATTATAAGCTAAAATAAACTACAGCAAATATCGATCACATTGAAGAATTAGTTTTAATTTTAGCATCGAAATTAAATTCAAAATAAAAAAATACATTTGATTGGTGTTCGAAATAATTAAGAAGTCTACAAGTCTAAATATCTTATAGTATTTAATATTATTTACAACGATACTATGTAAAAATTCTCATCTGATCCTTGACCAATTAGAGATTTAACTCTTATGGATATATGAAAAATGGTTTTATAATCATATCCATTAGTTCGAAATATAGATATCACCGATTACTAGCATTCTGATCATATTTATGATCATGCATTGATATTTTTTGGCTTTTGGCGATACAATAATGTGACATACTATAATAGTTACTATATGATGATCACTGTATACAGTCTAGTCTATGATAATACCATAGATAGTTGCTCTGTTAAAATCACATATGGATACTATTGTATGATAATTACTGTATGCAGTCTAGTCTATGGTAATATCATAGTTGCTGTATTAAAAATCACATATGGATACTTTTTTTTTTGGTATAATAGATCACGTATCGTCGCATTGCACTTTTATATCAAATAGCAATATATCACGATCATTTTCACTACTTACCGAATGTTCCGTATTTTGGGTCCAATTTGCAGCAAACGGATTTTTTATTTCAGAATTATTAAATGCACAAATGCGTAAACCATATTGATATGTTAATGGATCAATGGTTTGATTTATATAGAATGAATAGGGAATTGTTAGAAATAATCCATTTTGTAAAATTTTCTGCAAATTGTTAAATTTTGGAAATGAATCAACAAACATACTAAAATTTAATTAATTAAAATATTTTGGCAAAAATTTTTCAAAACAAAAAAAAATTTGTTTTTCGCGAAATTTTTATAATTCAAAAAATTATTCTTTTAAAAAAATTATCGATCAACTAACATTGGTTCGAATAACTATTTTATTACTCATTCCATTTTGCTCATCAAAAATAATCCCATTAAGTGAAATTTGTTCTTTCCTGATGTATTTTATATGTCCAAATTCCAGAAATATTCGATCATAATTGGTGTGCATTTTAATTTCATTATAAATCTGAAAATAATCGTTTGAAAAAATTAATTTTTCTATAAATAGTTCTAATTAAAAAGAAAAGAAATGCTTCTTTAATTAGCCAAAAAATTAATTTTAGAAATTAGCCGAAAAAAAAATAGTTTATATGAAATTTTATATTATGCTTTTTTAATTATCCGTAAATTAATTTTAAAATTAGCTGAAGGAAAATACAGTTTATATGAAATCTTATATTATGCTTTTTTTAATTAACCATAAATTAATTATAGAAATTAGCTGAAAAAGAGATATTTTATATTATCAAAAATTGTTGTCATATTTTTTAGGTTGTTTTTATTCAAATTATTCAAGGCTGTCAATAATGAATATAATGGAAAATTTTTTTGCAGATAATTTTTCCAAATTTTTTTGCAGATAATGCTATAAGAAATGAAGAAAAAGAGTTGTTGCGCAAAAAAATTTTAAATTTCATTGGTTGAATAAAAGGAAATCTATGAAATTCCTAATTAATTAATTAATTAATTAAAAGATATCATCTAATGCCATATTTCAATTGATTTTAGTGGAAATCTAAAAAAAATTAACAAAATCAAACCTTTTTACTTTGAATTTGTAATGCATGCATCCATGGATTCCATGTAGCTTTCACATCTGTGGTTGAGAAACATACGAAAAGTGGCCTATGATCGGATTGTAATAGGCATGATCCGTTATCCATTAGGATATAAGTACCATTAGGACAATTGCATCTTCAAAAAGATGAAATAATTCATACATTTTTTTCAAATATTTTTATTTATTTTCAAATTTAAATATTTGCCAATTTTTGTGGTACTCGTTTTCGTTTTTTATTGACCTTTAAAGGTCATTCAGGAAGTATTGCCAACTAATAATAGTTCAAATATTCCATCAATTTTATTGCGCTTTTCATTTCGTTCATCAATGACAAATTTAATTGAATTACAAAGAATTCTTTTCAATTAATGTGGGAAAACAAAATAATTTATTCATTATTTTTACTTTATCAAATTAAAAACTGATATTATCATATCTTTCTTATCATATCTATCATGTGAAAAAATAAGTTTAACATCTCTTTGACGGAAATAGATATGAAATTTACTTTCTTCTATTTAATAAAAGTTTTTAAAAGTTAATTTTAGCATCGAAGATTTTGCAATAATCAATATCTCTATTCTTTCTTTTTACTTTATCAAATTAAAAACTGATATTATCATATCTTTCTTATCATATCTACCATATAAAAAATAAGTTTTACTTCTCTTTGACGGAGATAAATATGAAATTTACTTTTTTCCATTTAATAAAAGTTTTTAAAAGTTAATTTTAAGCCGAAGATTTTGCAACAATTAATATCTCTATTCTTTCTTTTCATTTCATCAAATTAAAACCTGATATTACCACATCTTTCTTATCATATCTGTCATATTTAATTATTCCCGAGATATAAAAATATCAATGAAAGTATCATATAATTATTAGCTTTCGCTAGGTAAATTATAAAAGTAAGCTGATTATTTTAAAAAATTTTGTTGCAAGTAATTCGGGCAATTGTATAAATAATAAATTGATGTAACAACAAATTTCAACACATTTCCACTTACTTCCTCTGATCGATGCAATCAAATTCACAAATGATACCATTGGAAAGAGTGCATGAATTTCGCTCAGATTGCAACTTTTCCTTATTTGTTGCTGTTGTAATTTGAGAATGTTCAGCAAATGTTGATAGTCTAAAATTTTCAAATCTTGAGAAGATATTTTATATGGGAGAAATTTATTGACCTTGATAACCTCTAGGAGTAAATTAATTGTGTTGTAAAGGATGAAAAAAAATATGCAAAAAAGCATACTTACTCGATTTTACTTAAACTTGACATTGTAGGAGTAATTTCAACTTTATGTAACATAATGTTATTTGAAGTTGTCGTTTGTTTCGTTCTATCTAGATTTGAAGAAGATTGTTTTGTTTGTTGCTCTGTCATCTGCGGTTCAGATAATGTCAGCTCGACATTATCGTCTGCCCTGAGTTTTTGAGCATTTTAAAAACGGTATTACAAATTTTTTGCGAAATAACTAATTAAGATAAATGGGTGTAAAGAATTTTAAAAAGTTCTATATTGTAAATCAAAAAGTGAACGATTTAAATTGAGCATAATTGATGATATAGTTTATATGCTTCTACTCTTCTACTCTATTCTAGATTAGTATTTGATGATACAGTTTATGTACTTCTACTCGATTCTAAAACTGATAAAAATAAACTTACAAAAATGTTTCTAATTTGGATGTTGATTCGATTGATGGTTGTTGAATTGATGTATTGAAATTTTTACGAACAAGCTGAAAATTAATTTTTAAAATTTTTAGAATTTTAAAACTTCCGAAATTAACTACTAAAGGCTTAACATCGAAATAGCCTTTAAACTAAACCGGAATGTGTTGTTCACTGATCGGATTGATTTTTGCGTTATCAGATGGTGGTGAATCAATGAAAACATCTGATGGTAGTACCGTTAATGGATTTAGTAATCCTTCATCTGAAATTCGCAAGTAAATAAAATATAAGTTATATTGAATTGAAATAGTTTTGCATATCATTAAAATATTTTAATAGAAAATGATAAACATTTAGGATAGGTAAAGAAATAATTATTATTAGTTTTAGCGATTAATCATTAAATTTAATATTTTCTTTTTTGAAAAATTTATGAAAAGCTAAAATTTATCACTTACATTAAATTTATTATTCAATTTCAGTATTTTTAATTTCAGTACTTCAGTATTATATTTATTTTCAGTATTTTGTATTATTAATTAATTTGCTTATTATTTATTCAATGCAAAGATCAATTGATAAACATGCTTATTGATAAAATTAACAGTGCAGTGATAAAGTTGCTTTCAAATTTAATCATTATAACAGTTTCTTCAACCTTTGTGTAAAATTATGATAAGGTTATTTTCGAATTCAATCATTACTAAAATTTCTCAACCTTTGATATCAGAAGAATTGAAGATGGTATCAGCCGAGGTACAACCAATTCCACCTTTTGGATGACAGCGACGTCTAAATAGTAATGAATCTTCGATTTTCGTGCATTCACCGCATGATTGCATGATCGCTGAAACTTCATGAAAAATGATAAGGATAAAGAAATAAAAAAATTGAAGTGAATTTTACTGAAATGTTGGAGTTGAAAAGAATTTTACAATGTTAGAATTGAAAAGAATTTAATAAGGAAAAAATGAGAGGGTAACATATAATATCGTAAGGCAATGTTAAAAGAAAAATTGAAGTTGCAAATTTGTATTATTACCAGCTGTTTTCAAAAATGGGAAAGTAATATATAATATTGTAAGGCAGTTTTAAAAGTTAGAAAATTGAAGTTTTAAATTTATATTATTACCAGTTGATGAAATTTGTAAACAATATCTCATCGTAACATTGGCTGATTTCATCATTAAAAATTGATAAAGTATCGGAACAAAAGGGAAATTTTTTGATAATAATTGATGATGACAACTTTAGAAAGATTAAATTTTGGTAACATTACGAAATGATTCGATTAAATAGCATTCATTGTTTTAATATTCAAATGTTGATTGATTATCAGGGATGATTGATTGTAAATGAACTAACGAGTTTTTGCACAAGAAGTGCATATGAACGGTATGACGCGTATCAATTCAAATTTCGGTTCCTTCCGATGTTCATTATAAACACCACAAATTTGTATTCCATAATTGGTATCAGGATTAACTTGAAGTTGTAACTTTGTATTATTACCAGTTATTTTCAGTTCATGTAATGATGCAATTGTCCAAGTTGCTAATGGTGGTGTACCCTTAAAAGAAGCATTTTATTTTTTTAATTTTATTTTCATAAAATTTTCAAAAAAATAATTTTATCAACTTAACTTTTTCTACACAACTTTATACCCTCAATTTTGACCTTTTTTTCAGCGCATAATTAAAATTATTTATATCGAAAGATCGCTGAGTAAACAAAAGTTCGGAAATTTTTAATTCACTGTTTTAAACATTTTTTAAAACTCGAAATAATATACCTTCATTTTTGATGGACCGTAACGAATATGATAATAAAGTGGTGCACCAAAGCCATGTTGTGGTGACCACATAATCGTTGCATTATTTCCGTAACCCCAAACATCAATAACATCTGTACACTGTGGAGCAATTTCTAGAAAACAAATAGCAATATTCTTATCGATAATTTCTCTCGAAGTTTATTTACCAGGATTAAAGTCAAAGGTTAGGATTAAAATTAATACAAAACAATGAGGTTGAAGAAATTTGTGGATATTTCAAATAAATATCTTACCACGTCTAGTACATATTTCAAGAGTTGTCAATTTGTCACAATCAAGCTCAAATGATTGTTGAACACTGAACGGTTCCAATCGAATACATCGCGGTAACATTTGTACCTCTGCCCAAACTCTACATTTACTGTCTAGTACTTCAGATGGTAATGATATTCGTAAACGAGCACCACCTTTTTTTAATTCCTGAAGTTTTGCATAATGTTATTAGGCTTTTCAAATTAAACAGATTATTTCGAATTCAATCAATTTAATTTCCATATCAAATTTTGGTACATAATTCTTTTTCTTTTCTTTTTTTTAATTTATATCTTTCTTATACTGTAATTATGAGTTTTAATAGATTTCTGATTAATTGATCAAAAGGAAAAGTATTCGTTGAAATAAAACTAACAATAGATGGTGCTGATAATTCACCTTCTGGTGAATTGCATTGAACCGGATAAACTGCTGGACTTTCATAACCATATATATCCGCATCCGTATAACCGATTGGATTTTCCCACGAGATGTACACAACTACTGCATCATCATTCGCATTATAAATCGGTAATTCAGTCTGAATCTGAAATAAACAACGGAAGCTTTTCTATACTAATAATAACTCTATCATTATCATTTAAGAAAGAGAAAATAAGTTATAAATATCTGCGATATTTTACAGCAGCAAAAAATATGATTTTATATAACTATTACATTATCATAGCTTTTTTTGAAGAAATGAAATTGTTAGTTTTAGGCAATCATTTTAGCTAATACAAACTATTACAGTTATTCAAATTATAGACTCATTTAAATTAAAACTTATGAATCATTTCCAAAATAATAAATTCTAAACAAGAACCAAGCATAAAGAATTATGCTCATTATGTATTTTGAATAATCCTTGTTTGTATATAAAGAATGAAGTGAAGGTGAAAAAAACCTTATCAGGTGTTATAGCAAATGTTGGCAAATCAACCGGTATTATTCGAGGTCGATAAACAATCAACCAACGATCATGCTTCTCATTCTTCAAAATTACAATTACTCGAAATTGATAATCACGACAGGCATCATCGATTGTAAAATTAACATCTGGTAGTGAGCTAGCGCCCTAAATTATTGTCTTTGATAATACTAAAATTATACTTCAAAACAAAGGAAACAATAAAATGTAAACAATCATATGCGTAAACAAATAAAATGTATAAATATATTGCGAAGCAAATAAGTTAGGATCATCATAATAAGTAAATATGCAAATTTGGGCAAGTTGGATAAATAAAAAATTGGAGCAAAATAGCTAGTGAGCAAATTTCAATCTAATGAGTTTATTATATATGCTAAATTTAAGAAATTAAAATTAGAGAAATAAAAACTTCTGCCGCTATCAATCCAAACGATATGATATATGACAATTTATTATTATATTATTTTATAATTATATTATTTTATTATTATATTACTATAATCACATTATTTTATTATTATATTATTTTATAATTATTATCCTGCAATTAGATAATATGAATTTATAAAATTGCAATAATTTAATTTGCAAATTTAATTATTTTTAATTGGAATAACTTAAACAATAGAAAGGATTGTCATCAAAATAATTTCAAAAATTAAATAATATGAAATTTAATCAGAAATAGAAGATCATCAAATGAATATAAATATAAGCTATTTGTATTACCTGTAAATTTGACTGACACTTAGTCAATTTACGAGACAGCTAAAATTATTTTCTGATTTTTTAATTTTACTTTTAATCTCATTATTAACATAAATGAGAATTATAAGAGCTAACAGCAAAAATCCATTTATCAGGTTCAGTAGTAACTGTTGAATATTCAAAAATATATACAAACGCATTGATATTGTTATCATTCATTTGTATTCGAATCCGTCGTGTATTCAAATATTCCGTTTTTACCGGAAGTATATCATTTGTCATACTGTCTGTAACAGTTTCGTTTTTTGTAAGATATAAAGAATGAATTTCAGTGAGAATATTTTTATCCTAAAATAAAACAATTTACAATTCCTATAAATTTAGTAGAAGATCAATAAATGATCGTTTGAATAATTGATTATAAAAGTCAATTGAATTATGAAATTATGAACGATTGAATTATGAATTATGAAAGTCTATTGATTGTTGCTGTCAATTACTATTTCAACACATGTAATGAATGTATTTTAGAATGTATTGGAATTCTGTTTGAAAGTATTGGAAGCTGTAAATAATCTTCAAAAATAATATATTTTCTTTTTTAAACTCTTTTTATCTTTTCTTCGAAGTTTACAAAAAATCTTTCTGTTAATTAAATTATAAGTGAAATTTAGCAATGTTTAAGAAATTAAAAAATCTAATTAAATTATTTCAATGAAAAAAATAAACGTAATTTTATTAAATTAGCAATCTACAAATTAGCTGTCACTATCTTTAATGGCTTACTTTGAATAATACTTTCATCCAAATTCGTCGTGCATAATTTTTGATCACTTATAATATTACAATTGCAATTCGTCGCATTTAGCTGCAATTAAAATCGTTGGTAGTTGAAGTGATAGAAATTTTTACATTTCATTTGTATACTTTATATTGTATATTTAATTTTTATATTTTATATTATATATTTTAGATTGGCATATTTTATAGTTGTATAATTTATATTTGTATAATTTATATTTGGATATTTTATATTTGTATATTTTATATTGGGGTAACGATTAATCATACGATTAATCATAAAGTAAAATTAAATCATATATCACTATCATATCGTAATATCAGTATTATCTTTGATTAAACTATGCAAGCAATATGCATATTTTTCGACTATCAAAAGAAAATAATCAATCGATTAGTTTGTATTTATCAAATTTACATATTGAATAGTATTAGTGTTAAAGATGTTAAGATAGTTTAAATTTTCGTTAAATAAAATTTAAAATTAAATAAAAAATCTTTCTTCTTATGTCTATCATAATTATTGAATATTCATTTCCTAATATTTATAGCTTTATGAAATAACTCTACAACAAACATAATATATCACTATTAATCATTTTCAATTTATATCCAAAGTATCATTAATTAATCTAGTTTATTTTCTTTCTTCTTATCAACAATCCGATCAATATGATTAACGCTTTGTAATGAATGATACGAATGATATCTTGGCAGGATTAATTTAAATAATCATGAATTCATGAATTCATGAATAATCATGAAATAATCATGAATTTATTTGAAAATTCATTTATTGTTTTTTTTTTGTTGTCTCATATGAATATCATAATAGAAGAAAAAAATTAGGTCAAGGATATTGCCACCGATAATTTAAGGTTGGATAGTTGTGAGTGGTATAATCTATACAAATTCATTTAACCTATATTTTGTTCATTCCATACAATTTTGAATGGATGGATTACAAGGCTAATCATTTATTAATGGAAAAAAATAGTTCATATATTCAATGAGGCTTTAAGGATTATGCAACATATAAAAGTAGAATATGTGCAACATTATCGTAATAAAAGATAATCAAACAATGGATAAATAAATTATTCAAAAATTAAAAAGTAGCATTTTTTTTTTTAATTAGAAATAATTTTTCCAAAAAAAAAAAGAAATTAAAATTTAATTAAAATTTTTTTGAACTTTTTCATTTACATATTATAAACGGAAGGTAAAATAATCGATCGTAATATTATTATCAAATTTGAAAAACAGAAAGATTGTTTACTTTAAAATATCACCACAGAGGTATTGAGCGGTATTTTATCAATCCTTCAAATAATTAAAATTTAATTAAAATTCTTTTGAACTTTTCATTTTCACATTATAAATAGAAGGTAAAATATTCGATCGTAGTATTATTATCAAATTTGAAATGCATGAAAATTGTTTATTTTAAAATATCACCACAGAGATACCACTGACAGAGATAGTAAAATATCATCATAGAGATAGATAAATCGTATTTTCTCAATTCTTCAAATAATTAAAATTAAGTTTAAAATTTTTTGAACTTTCTTATTTCTCATTGTAAATAGAAGGTAAAATATTCGATCGGAATATTACTATCAAATTTGAAAAATATAAGAATTGTTTATTTTTATGAAAATTATATTTGTTAGAGAATAATTAATTGGCAAAATTTTAAGAGCAAAAAAAAACAAAACAAATTAAAATATTTGAAAAAATTTTCGATGAAAATTTTAAATTATAAAACAATAGGAAAGATTGTGACGAAAACGAAAAATGATACTAGAAAAAAATACATCAGAAATAAAATTAAATCAGTGATATGATAAGATTTCCTTTTCATTCAAATCATTAAATATCATTTCAATCTATTTTTAATTTTGTTAGAAAAAATATATCAAATATGAAATTAAATCAGTGATATGATAAGATTCCCTTTTCATACAAATCTTTAAATATCATTTCAATTTATTTTTAATTTTGTTAGAAAAAATATATCAGAAATGAAATTAAATCAGTGATATGATAAGATTTCCTTTTCATTCAAATCATTAAATATCATTTCAATCTATTTCTAATTTTGTTAGAAAAAATATATCAGAAATGAAGTTAAATCAGTGATATCACTGATAAGATTTCCTTTTCATACAAATCTTTAAATATCATTTCAATCTATTTTTAATTTTTAGATTGAGAAGTTGTTTAAAATTTGATAAATGTAATATTTTAAATAGTGAAGAAAAAGATCGAAAAATTCGTAAAGCAAAAAGTATATCATACAATTAATCAATCATAGATCCTTTCCATGAATAAAAAGCTTTTTATACTTCATGAAAAATGATATACTGATCGTCAAATAATTCATTAATTACCAATCAACAATTATGATTATCATTAATCATTAATGGAATTTATAATATCATATTGATAATTTGTTATCAAATTCAAAAAGTTTTTTTTTTAAGAATTGATAATTCGAGTAAATAAACCTGCTTGTTTCTTGATCAAGTAAACGATTGCAAAAATTGTTAATTATAAATTTTAATCTAATTAACATCAAATGAAATATCTAAATAATATAAATTCATCAAATGATCAATATCAATTAATTTAATTGAATTTAATCAATATCATTTTATTAATATCATTAATAAATAACTAACCCGATCCATTTAATCAATATCAATAATAAATAAGCTAATAATAAAGGACTAACCGGAGCAGTATTAAGGCATTTTGTGTAGCAATCAATTAGGCATTTAGCTTGTTGACTTGTAGCTCCATTTGTTATCGCCAAATGTATTTCAAGGAGTAAAACTATTAGTAACATCGTTTCATCCAAATTTCACTGAAAATTAAAAAGATATCTAATGAAATGATATTTTGAACAATTTTGGGCAAGTAATGGTGATAATAGTAGCTTCTGTATTTCAATGATCGAAATAGATGTAAATTGAAAGAGATATAAATGAGGAATGAATGAATCATTCAATTCATTTTAATTATTTCATTTTTTTTTTAAGTTCTTCATTTATATATATATATTAATGAAATTAATGCTTATTTTGAGTGAAGGATATTATAGAAATAATACTTTTCTAATGAATGTTCAAAAAAAAAAAGAAATCAGATGAATATAATCGATGAAATAATATTTGATATTGATATATCGATAAAATAATATTTAAAGTAATAATTGATATCGATAAAATATCGATAAATTGATTATCTGATAAATTGATTTTCGATAAAATTGATATCGATATAATTGATATTGATATCGATAAAATAATTGATATATCAAAAAAGTATTATTTGATACTGATATTTGATAATGAAATATTAAGAAATGCACAAACAAACAAACAAACAAACATGTTTGTTTATTTGTTTATTTTTTTTTCCACGATATTTTTATTTAATCATCCTCTAATCCTCAAACAATAACTTTGAAAAATTTTGTTGAAAAATTAATTTTATTTCAACATTTCTAATTTCAAGCAGATTCCAGTTTGATTGTTACCATTCAATGTAACAAAGAGAGAGGGAAAGAGAGAGAAGAGAAAAAAGAGAAAAGATACAAAACGGATATTAGAATAATTTAATATGATAAATTTAAATATATCATATAAATTATTCTAATGCTTGATTTAAAATAAAATTTCATTAAACATTTGATAACAAATTTCATTAACATTTAAATTTTTGCTATAATTTTTGCAAAGAAAGAAAATAATTCAGCAATTACGATTGAAATAATTGAACAACAACATCGTTGAATATTCAGCAAAGAAGAAGGGAAAAAATCCAATTGCGTTGAATCAAATTACCATCTCCATTTTTTTCTTTTGTATTATTTTTTATTACGATAATTTAATATTTGCAGTATCATGTGAAAGTTCAAAATAGTTGCAACTGCAAATTCTGCAACACTTTAGCATGCATGCATTATTTTTTAATCATCATTTAACTGCAAATTCTGCAACACTTTAGCATGCATGCATTACTTTTTAATCATCATTAAAGATTGCAACTTTTCCGACTAACTATTTGAAACGAAGATAAAAATTTATGATAAATTACTAGGATAATTTTTATCTAGAGGATAAATTCAAAAAAAATAATAATCGACTCATAATTACAGCAAAAAATTGGATAAAACTGTTATAAGCAATTTTAATAAAAAATCGTATCACCCAATTAATTAATTAATTATTTAATTCAAAAATTTTACAGTTTTTTTTTGGAAATTAAAAAGCAAGAAATTACCAAAATTCTTTCAATAAGATGAATTATCAATTAATTGTATCGATTGTGGAAATCATTAATATCTGTCATTGCTATTTTAAGTTTAAATGCCATCGTATTAAACCCTTCTTTTTCCATTAGCTAATTTTAAATAGTAAAATAGATTTAGTTTTCAATTAACTGAAATAAGAAATAATGAGTTGAACAATTTG